GGTACCACGGACTGAAGTGCAGCTGATGTACGGCTGAAATCAGCTGTACAAGCCAGAAGGGAATAGCCGAACGTTATTTGGCTCACTTCACTTTGGCTGGGTTATTCACTCGGCTGCCTTCGGCAGCTTTGTAAAGGAACCCCCAAAATAAGACAATAGTAAGGTGAAGAGGCGGCTTTTCCTGTACAGTTATTGGCGCCACTTTTTTTTGATCATCAGAAGAAATTCAGTTATCTTATATAAGATTATTCATCATACATTGCCATAATATTCTAAGCCAGGTTAGGACCAGTAATTTATGAAAATGAGCTGTGTAAGAGAAGTGACCCTAGCTTAAGGTGCCAAAATGTGTGTGACTACAGGCTTCAGTGATGGAAATCCAGCCCTGATTAAAGGGTAAGTACCGTATACTTTTATAGGCTTGGATAGGCTACAAAATGTCTTTAGCATTCTAAAACAAGTCAAGTTATTTACAAATCACCCCGATGCCTAGTGTCAAAACTGCTGGCTTTGCAACTGCTCCTACTTCAGCAGGAGGAATTGGCCCCCTTCTCTCAGTTTATCGCCTCTGCTACACCAGTAGATACCCAGTCATCATCATTTGGCCCAAAAGGCCATGCATTCCCTCAATTAGAATTTGGAAGGTATTGTTGCTGAATTGCACTGGCAGCGGCAGGATCCACATGCTTGTGGTCAACAGACACATGGTCCAGCAAGCATTGGCAATGGCACTACATATCATTCATGGCACACTAGGTCAATTTGCTGGTGGGTTGGAAGAATGCAGGACAGGGCACCCTGCTTAAGTTGGTGGTGCCACCTCATGCCTTGTACCTTGGTGCTGTTGCCAGAAGAGTAACCTGTACCCCCTTTACACTGTGCCAGAGATTATGGCACCTCTGTAAAGCAGAATCTCTGCACCTGTGGTGCCACACATAATATTTTACAGCTGGGCCTCAGCTGCAAAGTTTGTAGCCTATCCCAATGTTCCAGCAAAGTGAAAGGTTCACTATCATTCTGCTGCTGGAATTAGCCGCAAAATTTCATATGCCTGCTAAATGGTAAATAATGCTTTCTGTCTACAATTCCAGCGCTCTGGCATTGCAAAGGGGCTACATAGTGTTACCACAGCTGGACCACAGATGACAAATTGCTAAATTTTGCTGTAGAATAAATACTGCTCTCTGTCTCCAGGTTTCCAGCCTATGCTGGTGCTTCAGCAATCAGAAATGTTTGTGGCTGTGGGCTTTTGTCTCTCTCTCTCTCTCTCTTATATTGTGCACTAACCAAGCTGCTTACATACTGTCCAACAACTATACAATATGCGTGGCTATTGTCTTTGAAATAATACACTCTAAGCTTTATTTCAAGATAAAACCTGCTTTGGCGCATACGTGCAAAAAAGACGATTGCGCCCATTAAGCCGCACATGTTACATATCGCCGCGAACGTCGGAGTGAGAGCAAAAAGTCTAGGGCCATCAACCACTGATAACACTAGACTGATGAGCGGTAAAAGCTTTTAAAGTGTCGCCCATGGCTAATTTTGGGTATGGTAGTTTTCTGCGATTTCGCGGGTGCGCGCAATTTTAAAGCTTGACATGTTTGGTGTCTATTTACCCGATGTGACCCGATCTTTTATATTTTACCAACAAACTGGGTAATAATAAATGTTTCCTAACATAATGTTAAAAAAAAAACGTATTTTTTTCAAAATTTTCTGGAATTTTTCCTAATTATAGTAAAAAATAAAACCCCAGTGGTGATTAAATACCACCAAAAGAAAGCTCTATCTGTCCCCAAAAAATGGTATAAAATTAATTTCAGTACAGCGTTGCATGACGGAATAAACGTCAGTCAAAGTACTGCAGCGCTGAACACTGAAAAATGGCCCGGCCAGGAAGGGGGTCTAAACACCTGGTCTTGAAGTGGTTAATTCTAGTGAACCATTGAGCTATAGTGGGCAGGCTAGTTTGTCTCCAGGGCACCAGATTGCATGACTTTGCTGCATTTAATAGGTGGATCAATAGTATTTTTTGGGGTCTAGATTTAGAGATGGGTGTCAGATGCAGCAGATATGCGGCCAGATTATCAAGAATAACACCTGTCAGTGAAAGAATCAGTGTAATAACCTGGGAGCAAAATGGTCACATGGCTGAGCAGTCCCGTGACCTCTAGCAGAACCACATCTCCAACACTGATCTGTCACATTTGGGAAAATATGAGATAGAACCGACAGGGTTCTGTACCATCTCATCACCAAGAGCTTGTAACTGAGCTCCTGAAATCTATTGTAAATGGAAGTCTTATGCAAGAAAAGTATGAGATGATCACTTTGAGCACTTGTAATGGACAAACCTAGGTCTTGTTTCCGATTTTTGAATAAAGCAGTCAGGGGAAGCTGGAAGGAGGACTGAAGTAACTGATATGTATGACACAGATATTGCCCCTCTAATCAGTTCCTGATGGGAGCAGAGTTCCTCACATGGGGTCAGTGGATAAATGGCTGGGAGGAAAGGAGAAAACCCAAAAAGTTGGAGAGTCTCTCCCTCTTTAACATGTATATTGTCCAGCCACTCCACAATATGCACAGCTATTGTCTCTGAAATTATACACTCTAATGTTCATTCCAGGATAAAACCTGGTTCATGTCTCCTCCTTACACTCCTCCTTAAAACCTGGCTCATGTCTCCTCCTTACACTGCAACCATAACAAACTGCATGCTGTTTAATACTTGTCCGCTGTTCAATATTTGTGGCTATTGTCTCTCTCTAATATTTATGTGAAGATAAAACCTGCCTTGTCTCTCCCTCTTAGATTGCAGCCTAACCGAGGTGCTTACACACTGTCCAGCCACTGCACAATATTCGTTGCTATTGTCTTCTGAAATAAAACTCTTCATTTTTTTAATTCAGGATAAAAGCTGCCTCTTGACTCTCCCCCATTGATACCATTCTTCTAAATGGAACTATTCTCATCATCATGATTTACTGTGGTCTGTTTTGTATGAATCTTTTGTTTTATATGATAACATACACAGAAATGAACGACAATGTGCGTAATCAGCACATACAGCAACTGCATTTTGGGAAAAAAAACCCTGAAGCCTTCGATAACTTCCTGCCTGGTCCTGGAGGAGGTGGAAACATAACACGTGTAAAATAAAGCAAAAAAAATTAATGTAAAATGCCCGTCCACATGTAAATTTAGGGCCTTCACACCCATTGGTTTTTAAAGAAGGTTTTTAAATTGGTTAAAAAACGTACCCGATCCTCTGAGCCGGTTGGTTCTTAGACTGATCTCTAGAGTGTCTCTCCACCTCCACTGTAGCAGTCTAGGAATCCTCAAGTCATAACATTCAATACAGCGTATCAAATATGAGGATGCCGAGGGGCATACCATCTCTGCAGTGGAGGAGGAGACAGGAAGGCTGCTGGCTCTGAGGATCGGGTGAGCATAACTTTTTTTTGGACCATAGGCAAAAATGAGCAGTTAACCCTTGCCGTACGGGGGGCAGCCCCACTCCAAGGGTTAATAACATTTCTGCCCTGAGTTCTTCTTTAAGGTTCACATTGTAGCACATGTGCAGAGGTTTGCCATTGTCTTTATTGGTGCTAGTTCACATGCATTGACTGTCGATGTGCCTTATAAAAACACACCTTAAAATGCACTACAACGCAAGCGCATAACTGTGAATCCAGCTTAAAATCCTGATTACTAAGTGCTCGTTCATACCATCCCTGGATGCGTTTCCGCAAATGTGATCATGTGATTTTTTATGCATTTTTGATGTGTTCTGGTGATTTTTTGTGTCTCTATTGGCTTTTAGGTGCGTTCTGGTGCCTTTGCATGTGTTTTTGTGCATTCCAGAGCAAAAAGAAAATGTGATTTGCTGGACATTTTTTTTGAAGCTCAGGAACTGAAAACAGTGGTGTGAACGAAACTCAGAAACAGAGCCGTAGCTAGCTCCTTATGCGCCCGAGGCAAGAACAGGAAAGTGTGCCCCCCAACAGACGTGTTGTCACCCATCGCTGCACACGCAAGGCGTTATGTTACGTAATGTGCCCCGCCTCCAGGATGGCGCCGCGCATGTGCAGAATGCGCTGTTGGCCAAATCCAAAATAGCATAAAAGCGAAACTAATGAAAAGATTTTTAGTTTCCGTTCATTTCGTCTGAAACACATTTTTAGTCTTTACACATATCTAATAATATGTGTGCATGAGTGTGTGTGGATGTTTTTTTTTTACTGTGGGGGGAGGCTTTGGGAAATATTAGGGGTCTAAGCAGAGATTGAGTATACAGAGTCCTTTGCCCATACAGGCGGGGGAGAGCAGCGGGGATCCGAGGAGAAACTGGAGCCTATGCCTCGCCAGGGCCGGCCTTAGGGGTGTGCGAGCCGTGCAGTCGCACAGGGCGCCAACCCCCATGGTAGCTACAGCCCTGCTCAGAAAGACCACTGGAATCTATGGGGATGCGTTTTTGGAGAAAAAAATATTCTGGTCTGCTGGCCTGTAGATGGTGTGAACAAGCCCTAAAGGCCTGTTTACACGTAAGCATGGTGCTATTCACATGATATAGTGCAATTAACGCATGCTATCACACACAGCACCTAGCGTGCATGCTTTACTTTTTTCACTGCAACGCATGGTATTGCATTGCAGTAAATGGTGTCATATGAAATCAATGCAACGCATCTAGTAACACATAATTCAATGCCCTCATATATTTATTATAAGAACACAAATAATCACAACTCAATGATCATAATAAAGGACAATAAGAAGAATACTGCTGGAGAGAGATGATTACTGTTGGAATTCCCAAGGTCACATATGTGGGAGTTGGAAAAATTCCCAGAATCTCCATGCATTTGCCTGCTGTGCTGCGTACTCGTATAGCAGGAAGATGTCAGCTGCCTATATCGTACACACATACTGTAGCAGCGTCTTCCACGGTCCCAGCGGCATTCTATAGGAGATCGGTGTCAGCCCAGCCTCCGTACAGTGAGGGGAGCACCTGGAGTGGGCGGGGCCAATCAGTGACACATTCCCAGCCACATACTCCGCACGTCACCCCGCAGGAACAGCCAATGGCCTCCAACATCGCCCTGGACTGAGCGCTGCACATCATGGAGCACATCAGGCTGCCTAAGGTTAGTGCGACAGAGATGACATGATGGGAGAAGCTGGCATCCCTTCCCCGGCCATGCATGCTGCATCCCTGACTCACCCATCCCTCCATCCATCCTTGTCTATGTGCTTCTCCACGGCAGGCAGCCCTATCCCAGCACCGGCCCGATGCATCTCTATCAGAGCACAGGGTGACATCAATGCTGCTGGTGATCACCCTCATTGATCCCATACATTGATGCTGTGCAGAGCTCAGAGGAGAGATACAGGCCGGACTGTCTAATCTGAGATTAGGATGATGTGCTTAGTGCTAGCATGGCTCATGTCTCTCATTACATGACTGCTGTGTACTCTATGGCTGCTCTACATCTTATGTATGTGTTTATCATAGAACCCCTCCCTCTTGTTTTCAAACTACATAGACCATCCTATCCATATGACATCTCCATATCCACAATACATCTTATCTACAGTCCTATCCATATGACTTCTCCATATCCACAATACATCTATCTACACTCCTGCCGTATCTATATGACTTCTCCACATCTATAATATATCCTATCTACACTCCTATCCATATGACATCTCCATATCCACAATATATCTTATCTACAGTCCTATGCATATGACTTCTCCATATCCACAATATATCCTATCTACAGTCCTATCCATATGTATTCTCCATATCCACAATACATCCTATCTACAGTCCTATGCATATGACTTCTCCATATCCGCAATACATCCTTTCTACAGTCCTCTCCATATGACATCTCCATAGCCACAATATATCCTATCTACACTCCTCCCGTATCTATATGACTTCTCCATATCCACAATATATCCTATCTACAATCCTATCCATATGACATCTCCATATCCACAATACATCTATCTACACTCCTCCCGTATCTATATGACTTCTCCATATCTATAATATATCCTATCTACCCTCCTATCCATATGACATCTCCATATCCACAATATATCTTATCTACACTCCTATGCATATGACTTCTCCATATCCACAATATATCGTATCTACAGTCCTCTCCATATGACATCTCCATATCCACAATATATCCTATCTACAGTCCTATGCATATGACTTCTCCATATCCGCAATACATCCTATCTGCAGTCCTCTCCATATGACATCACCATGGCCACAATATATCCTATCTACAGTCCTATCCATATGACATCTCCATATCCACTATATTCTATCTACAGTCCTCTCCATATGACATCTCCATATCCACAATACATCCTATCTACACTCCTCCCGTATCTATATGGCTTCTCCATATCCACAATATATCCTATCTACAATCCTATCCATATGACATCTCCATATCCACAATACATCATATCTACACTCCTCCCGTATCTATATGACTTCTCCATATCCACAATATATCTTATCTACAGTCCTATGCATATGGCATCTCCATATCTATAATACATCCTATCTACACTTCTCCCGTATCTATATGACTTCTCACTATCTATAATATATCCTATCTACTCCTATCCATATGGCATCTCCATATCCACAATATATCTTATCTACAGTCCTATGCACATGACTTCTCCATATCCACAATATATCTTATCTACAGTCCTATGCACATGACTTCTCCATATCCACAATATATCCTATCTACAGTCCTATCCATATGACATCTCCATATCTATAATACATCCTATCTACACTTCTCCCGTATCTATATGACTTCTCAATATCTATAATATATCCTATCCACAGTCCTCTCCATATGACATCTCCAGATCCACAATATATCCTATCTACAGTCCTCTCCATATGACTTCTCTATATGTATAATATATCCTATCTACAGTCCTATCCATCTACACTCCTCCCGTATCTATATGACTTCTCCACATCTATAATATATCCTATCTACACTCCTATCCATATAACATCTCCATATCCACAATATATCCTATCTACAGTATTCTCCATATGACATCTCCATATCCACAATATATCCTATCTTCAGTCATATCCATATGAATTCTCCATATCCACAATATATCCTATCCAGTGGCGGACCTAATAACCAAAGGGCCCTGGTGCAAGATTTTATCTTGGGCCCCCCTACTCCGCCGCACTCACAGAGTCGGATAGAAGTGACATTTCAGGACGGATCCGCTGTTCCAGGGCAGATCGGTTCTCCTGCACATGCGATTTGCGATGCCGATCTGCCCTGGAACAGCTGGGAAAGCGTTGGAATGCTTCACCTATTCCACCGCCGAAAAACTGGGCGAGATTACGTGAAAATGTGTGACCACGTCACTGGTCACACATTCTTTGATAGAACAGATGCCTGTCTGTAATAATTTAATCAGAGAAATAGATTATAATAGGGAACATTACAGTGTAATATTCCCCATTATAATCCACTTGTCTACTGTAATTACATGAAAAAGAGCAGTACACAACACCTATCCTAATCTTTTTCTATTTTAAAAGGGAAATATCAGGGGTCTGTTTAGACACCTAATATTTCACTGATCCTATTATTTATAACAATAATACTAAGTAAAGGTCAAGTGGAGGGGATGAGTGTATGTTTGTTTTTTTTCCACAAAAATGTTTGTTTTATTAAGAATAGCGAGGCATATAAAATAAGTCAGAAGGTACAAAAATCAATTACAGAACACATACGTGCGTAACATGCACGATACTAAAGACTGTGTGGAGACCTTTTGCAAAATGAGTGTATGTTTCAAGCCTTGAGGAGTCATCCGAAGGAAAGACAGACAGACAGACAGAGGTAGTATGCAGATTACATTGTGTAGCAATAGTACTATGATATTGTTTTCTGCCACTTATCAACTATTTGAGCAGTATACAAACATATCATATCACTGTGTACATTGCTCAGTCACAGGGTCTACCCATACCTATCAGTGAAATAAGTGCCCTTTGCTTTGACATTCTTTGCTTTGATGCTAAAATGTTTATAAAACGTCTGATATAAACATTTCAGAATGAAGAGTAGATTAATCCCCTGTAAATTTTGTTTTAGGATGTTAATATTAATTTAGGATGGCATGAATTATGAACAAGAAGACTTTATAAATGGATTTTGTGTCATTATCTTCATATTTCTAGTGACAATGGTGTGATGTTGCCCAGAGTAAGGCTCTGTTCACACCTAGGCGTATCGAATATTGCCACGATTCGCGGTAAAAAAAACACGCGTTTCCGAGGGCAACGCTCAACAAAAACGCCGCATAGAAACTCATGTACCTTTTCAGGCGTAGGCCGTTTTGTATCGCGTTCAGACGTGCTGAAATACGGCAAAGTGTGAACCATACCCATAGAAAACAATGGGATTTTCATGTTTGAGCGTTTTGTAGAGCGTTCGTAGAGTGTTGAACGCGCTACAAAACGTACAGGTGTGAACCAGGCCTATATGTAGGAGATGAAACCATCAGAAACTACATTTCCTATTAAAGAAATGATAACATATCAGTTGCGACCTTTATAAACAGAGGTAGTTCATGTAACTGAGTTAAAGTTAACTTAAACTAATAAAAAACACAACCTTTACAATAAAGAGTACAGTCAAAGCTTAGATGTGTACCTGGGAAAAAACTATTATGTGGAGATAAGATAGAAGAAGATAGAAGATACCACAAGCTGCAACACTGCCCCTCATTTCCCTGATCTCAGACTGCTGCCAGCACTGTGGGAGCCCACCAAAATCAATCCCATAATACAGAACTCAAACCCAATACAGTGACTACACAACCTATCGCCAAGACCTAAAGACCAAAGCGGGCATGGCTAAGCCCATGCAAATAAGACATTTCGGAAAATTCATGTTTGCATAGAAGCTCTGGGGGGCTCTGGCTGCTCTTACAGCTTGTACTGACTGCCCCATTTCCTCCTGGGGCACCTATGGACATAAGGAATAGTGGTATCTATATGTAATGGAGTGCTTCATCACACAACGTCAAAGCAGATTGTAAAGCCACATAGAAACATAAATAAAAAGTTATAAAAAATATATATGTTGTACTTGTTTTCAAAAATATTCTTTTCATATGTAACATGCCAGGATGGCCATTACCTACTTAGCTAAGGTTTCATGTAGTACTGCAAGCTGCCATTCTTAACACTTGAAAGCAGTGCCCTGTCAAGGCAGAGAAGACCTCTGCAGCCTCAAACACAGTGAAAGAGCATGTCTGCCCCTCTCAAATGCTTATACTGGGATTCTGGCAGCCTCCATCACTCTATGAACGTCTTGTGTATAATAGATAAAAGTTGTTCTGAGGAGTCTAAAGAGCTCTGCGTTTGCATGTTGGCCTCTACATTGCGCCTTTTTCTCTTACCTCTCTCATTGTCAGAGAGGAATCATTACTTTATAGTAGTCACCATTAGGACACTATGAGACTTTTCATGTATCAGCACAACCATGATGGGACAAATAAAACCAGTTTTTGATAAGTTAGACACAGTAAGTTAGAAGCAGGTTGCTGATGCCAATAACTTAAATTTCCATCAGAATGTCTACAGTAACAGAGTTTGCAGTGGGATTAAAAAGGAGTAAATCTTCATTTGGAGGCATGCGCAAGGACATTATGGTAATCAAACAAGTCTCCACTTTGCAGTTCTGGATTCTGCAACATCTCTATCAGTTCTCCCTGAATCTAGAGTTTACTTTGCCCACGACTGCTGTAACAAAGTTTATTTTCTAAAACACATTTTATGTAACGCTCGTTTTCATCTCCATCAGTTTGCTATGCAGCAAGCGTTGCAAACGAGGTTAAAGAATGCAGGCACATAAAAAATACATACATTATGATATATGAAATGACAGGTACATGCAGTTATGTAGGAAAATATATAAAGCAGTAGCATCATACAGTAGCAGCACAACATTAAAGGAGAACTTTCTAGCCGACCTGTGACAATGAGACTGTCACAGGTCGGCTTAGTAGATCAGGAGGTGAGCGAACGCCGGTATGTGTTCTTGATCCTGTCACGGCTCTCTGCCGTGACAGGGGAGGGGCTGGATCCCCCCCTCCCCGCTCCAATCCGCCAGCGCTGACTGGCGGAACGGACGGGGGAGGGGGCGAGTACAGCTGGCTATGCCTCTAGATAGGCAGAGCCAGCTGTCAGTCATGCAGCTGGGCGTCTCAGTATACCGCGAGCTACAGCTCGCGATATACTGAGCCTAGGGTGATGGGAGGACGCTAGTTTGTGTCCTCCCGTTACCCTAAGGAGAACTATGGGGAAAAGCCTTAACCCCATAGTTCTTCTTTAATATGAGCTTTCAATGTAACTATTTACTGTTAGCCTGTGATTGTCAAATATCTGTAGAAAAATACTGTCATCTCTCTTTTGTCTGACTTGACCATTTTGTTTTTAATATTTGTGGTTACTGACTTTTTTGGGCAGCAAAAGAATCATTTGGGCATTTTGGCCTGTTAGAGTGACACTAAACTCGGGATTCAGGGCTTGTTCACACCATGTCCAGACCAGAACAGTTTGTTCCCGGACCAAAAAAGCATCCCAACGTATCCCTATGATATTTCTGGGTTCTGTTCACACTAGTGCACTCCATTCCAGGCCATACAAAAAATAAATACTACTTGTCTCATTTTCTCTGGTCTGGAATGCACTAAAACGCATGGAAGCACATCAAAACGCATACGAATGCATGCAAATGCACTGGACTGTACCTGAAATCCCATTTTAAGCTTACAAAAATCTGCAAAATCGCTGCAAAAAATGCACTGCACTCCGTTTGCAGATCTGTTCCAGATCTGATCCGGCCATGGTGTGAACAAGCCCTCAAACCTTAAAAATGTATTTAGGTATGCTAACTATTAACAAAACGGTATTTTATTTGTATATCACTCGGCTGTAGATCCTCAAATCATCTCTGAATTGGTGCTGACACTGTCCTTCCTTCTGGAGGGTGGCTACTTTTGTTCCCCATGGTCCCTGTGTGTGTTGTAGTCACTGCTCCAATCTCGCTCTCTTGCTGGACTACAGCCTCACTAAACATATAGTGCAGATAGTCCACCACTTCAATTCTTAGATCGACATCCAACTATGAATCATTCCACAGGTCCAGGCAAAGCCACCTCGCCTTCGCTGTACTTAACCATCCTTCTCAGAAAACAAGCCACACTTCTGTGGATCACCATGAATAAAAACAATTATTTATTGAAGTAAATAATACATGCTGTGGAACAACTCCCCATGTATACAATTACTTACGCGTTTTACTGATCTGGCCTAATCGTAGGGGGCTCTGTGATTTTGCCAGATTGGTGAAATGCATGAGAGGTTGTACACATGGGGAGTTGTTCCACAGCATGTATTCTCTACTTCAATAAATAATTGTTTTACTCAAGGTGTTCCCCAGAAGTGCGGCTTATTTTCTGAGAAGGATACTTCCTAAACGTGAGATGGTAGTCCATCATGGGAGCAAGGTTAGAGTGGTGGGTACTTTACATTACACACAGGGAGCATGGGGAACAAACGTAGCCACCCTTCAGAAGACTACACCACTTGTATATTGAGAAAAATATCCTTGGATCATTGAGAAATCATCCTAGTTGTCTGCTGGGAAACCAACACTTACGGAAGCATAGATTTCCTGGCTCTCCCGCTCTTACTGGTTCCACCTGCTGACCTCCATGACATTGCTATGTTCTGCAGTGGTGTAGAGATCAGCAGGAGAAACCAGTGAGAATTGTGGGGACCCTGTAGACTGATAGGAAGTGTCAGTTTCCCAGTAATTTCAGGGGGCAGTTTCTCAGGATTAGAGAGCAGCAGGGACAGTGGGAAAGGTGAGTATGTATCTCCTTATTTTAATCGGAACATGTCTTTTACTATTAGAATAATGCTGACCATGTTCACCTGGAGTGTGTGAGTAACTTGTTGCATGTGTGTGTTGTAGATGTTAGATTGTAAGTTTGGGACAGGGACTGTTGTCAATATATCTTAGTACTCTGAGAAGCACAGTTAAATAAACTACTGCTATTGTGCAAAATGTCGAAGCCATGATTTTTCTTTCACTGACCTGAATGCAGTAAACCGAAATTGCATTGGCGCCTTGCGTTTGACCACCCGCATTGTTCTTTGTAATGCCTTATTAAATAAACCCATGTGTGTTTAATGAATATATCAATATGGCATATATCTGTAAAACGCTTCATTAATATCCTTCCCTTAATGTTGTTTTCTGTATAAGGTTGAAAACGTCCGTCTACTTGACCGAATATCTTCTAGGAAACCAGCATTGGGTACATTATATCTCACAGCAACCCATGTTATTTTTGTTGAAAACATTTCAGAGACCCGCAAGGAAACATGGGTAAGGCCATACGTTTTCTTCACTGTTGCAGAAATGTTCTAATGTGTAAATATGTATGCTTGCCTTAGGCCTGGCTCACACCTCAGCGTCCGCGTTCCTGCACTTTTTCTGCATGTTTTATGTTGTTTTTGAGTGTTTTTTTTGCTTGTTTTTATGCCCGTTTTATGCACATACGGCAAAAAGCGTGTTTTTGTGAGCAGATTGTAGCTCATTGATGTTAAAATGCGCATAGAAACGCGCAAAAACACAGCAAACACTCCTATTGAGACTATGGGGCACAAACGGGCTGTAATATGCCAAAAAAAAAGCTCCTGTACTTTTTCCAGCGACAGGCGTTTTGCTTATTGCAACTAAATGCTCATATGTGAACAGGGCCATAGAAATGAATACGTTTTTTTGGGGGGGCAGATTTTTTGAGCATTTTTTAGGGCAGAAAAAGTGCTACAAAACGCTTAGTGTGAATCAGGACTTTTGGGTAGTGGCAGGGTTGGGCTGTGTACCTAATGACATTTATATGTTTTAAGATAATGCTCCTTGGAATCACAATTTGGTTCTCCAACATTCATATTTTATGTACAATTAAAAAAATTAAGACCATTTTTATGATTTTGTGTAATTTTAAGGCTGGCGCCAGGATTAGATTTACATCATTGGGGAGCCTGTAGCAAAACAACTTTGTCAGTCAAACAACCATCTGCCATGATCATGGTTTTTTTTTAATAAATAACATTTTCTTGTTTTAGTGGTCCTAACTAACCTTACAATCTTCTGACTGTCTGTATATAACCTTATATGAGATGACTGTATTTCTGCTGCTCATGAAAAAAAAGTGTAGGCAATAACCGTATAGAGAAAACCCGCCCCTTTTCTTCTGCTTGCTATAAGCTTAGGCCTACTGAAATGTATGTGAACATCCTCACTCATCAAGGTTATGAATACAGCAAGCAGTTAGAGACGGCTCTAGACTTTGTGAGGCCTTAGGCGAAACTCAAACATGAGGCCCCATCTGACATATGCACCTATACATACACTCATATATACACACATACATACAGAAATTCAAAGTAATTTACTCACACATGCACACACTCACATATGCCGTTATTTATAATACAGGTTTAAGAAGTCAGGACAACTCTGGGGATCTTCTTAAAAAATAGCTGTACTGTATGTTAAATAGGGATGCACTGATACCATTTTTATCAGACCGAGTACCAATACTTTTCCTCAAGTACTCGCTGATGCCAATTACAGATATATATATATATATTTTAGTGTTCTTTTAGGGTCATGTGACAGTTTTTCTAAAACAATACAGACTAATGATTTAAGGGCCGTGGTGGAGCGCCAGGGCCCGGTCCCAGCTGCAACCGATGTGACCCTGGTAGCTCTGCTACTGACTCCAAGCTGTAAAGGGACTACAAATCCCAGCAATACATTATACAGCAATGCAGAATACCACCGGCTATAGAGGACTACAGATCCCAGCAATACATTATACAGCAATGCAGAATACCACCGGCTATAGAGGACTACAAATCCCAGCAATACATTATACAGCAATGCAGAATACCATTGGCTATAGAGGACTACAACTCTCCGCAATACATTATTCAGCAATGCATAATAATATGAAGCTACATACTGTGTGCTGCTCCAGGGCGCCGGCCTGATGTCTACTTGTGAAAATACCCAGTATCAGCACCGATACTGGTATCAGTGCATCCCCTACTACTAATCACTGCACGCTGTGTCACTTACTACTAACCTCTGCTTTACTTACTATTGACCTCCGCACGCTGTGACACTTACTACTGACCTCCGCACGCTGCGACACTACTGACCTCCACATGCTGCAACACTTTTTACTGACCGCACGCTGCAACACTTTTTACTGACCTCGGCACACTGCAACACTTTTTACTGACCTCCGCACACTGCGTACCTTACCACTGCCCCCTGTCTCCCATGTTAACTATTTACCCCCTTCTAGGGCAGTTCATACATGACACCCAGCCTAGCGAAGCTCACGTTACAGAAAAATGCATGAGAATTCACTCAGAGCAGTAAACATCATCTATCATGGCCCTGGAAGAAGTCTGACAACCCGGACTCCATAAATACACTCCTTTCCCTGTCACCCTCTACTCCCAGCCCGGGGGCCTCTCCGGCCTCACCCTAACAAAACAATCCCGACAGAGCAACTGACCACTTCAGCACATCTTGCACACCAGACCATGACTGCTCCGACAGGGAGACATGTTTCACCTCCTCCTGGCATGATTGGTCTGGGGGGGCCGTGGCGGTGTTCCGTTAGATTTCCCAAGTTTTAGGGGGACCTTGCCGGGTCTCGGGGGCCGTTCTGGGTCTCTGGGATATATTTAGATCTATTTTGCCATGCCCCATGTGAAAGAGGTGGGCTCCCCTTGCTGCTGAAACTGACAGCGAGTCTGGCCGGTGCGAGGCCCCCGGAAGCGCGAGTCCTTAGGCGCCCGCCTTACTCGCCTAATTAGAGAGCCGCCCCTGCTAGTAGTGATTAGTCATATTCAAATGAACTTGTTCTGTAATGTTGAAACTGTATTGACTGGCCCTGTAAATCCTTCCCTGGTTGGCAATGAACAGCCCAATCCCACTTTAATTATGCAACTCTTGGGCAAGGATTAGGTCATTTAGGAACACCCCTGAAATAGTCACTGTTTCCAATATAGAGGATGTTTGTGATTGCCGATTTCGCCAAAGGTGTTAACTCTTCGTGCATGAGTACAGAATAACATGCTTCAGCAGTACAAATTATGGAAGATTATGTTACTACCCAGAATTCTCAGGGTTGCATCTTCCTGTCTATGACAAGCCTAAGGTATAGCCAGTTCTTGCTCTGACTGTTCATGAAATTTAGTACATACTGGGTTGTTATCCATTGGGATCTTTGCATTTTGCATGACTGAAAGTTATCCTATTTGTGAAGCATATTAAGCAGTATTTTCTCTCTTTCCTATTATGGTAAAACATCCCTACCACTAAAGATATACCCAAAAAGACTGAAAACAATGGTGGTGGTTCCACAACTCAACCATCTAATTCTATAGATCTTTAACATTTCCGATTTTCACTACAGCAGTCATGCTGGTGAATAATAAAAATAGTAGGGTCATTAGAAATCTAAAATCTACTAGTGACACCTGACTAAATCCAAAGAATGCCATCTCTTCTGTATTATTATTATTTGCTGAAATGTTTGCAGTGCTATTAGCCAAAGGTCTATTGATATGAACTGATTTCTCCATTATACAAATCTGTAGATTCTTCACAGCCAGATCTCTTCTATTGAAAAACAAGCTACCAATGCATCAGGCTGTCCTTTACTTCTCCGCTGCAAAAACTTCCAAGTTATTCAGATCATCATCCCCCAAGAGAGAGATTGCCATGACATCTACGTATCGCTAGCCAGATTGTCACGACCAGGTACTGTATTCATTGGTTTCTTCTATCTACCCTTATAGCAGCCCTGGGTTTTACTTGCAAACTAAGCTTATGCAACCACTTTGTTACAGGGAATTTATAGTAATCTATATATATGTTTTACCTTTTAGACAGATAATTATAAAATATTGCAAATAAATATACTATGTTTGTTCATAGGCAGACAGCAGGTGGAGCTCTTGTCTCTTTTTTAAACATTTCCCAGGACCCCTTTTTTCCTCTGTTGAAAAGAAATCTGTTGTTTAGAGTTAAGTAGCTCAGGATGATACACACGCGCGCGCTTTAGTCACAGCAGTGACTCCTCCCCCTCATATTCATTTTCAAGAATAATGTGCTAGTTCCTACACATGTACTCCACCTTACCAGGATATACAGTACCAGGGTTATTCACAAAAGGGTGAAGAGTTTGGAGAAGGCAGGAGATGTAAACGATCGAGGTCAAAATAGCTGATTTGGAGAAATTCTCTAATTCAGCTCACTTTCCAGTTCAGCTATGTTGTCCTACATTGTTTACTTCTCCAGCCTTCTCCAAATTATTTACCCTTTAGTGAATTAGTGAATAACCCTGTAGATCTACTGCTGCTGGACCTTAAAGAGTTAAAAATAAACAACCCAAAAAAAGCCCAAAAAGAGAACTTCTTATTGTTGTTCTCTGATTCTGTGCATGAAATCTGCTATAGTAGTATTTTTCTACTACTTAGTAAGCTTTGTTTTGTCTACAGTTAAATATGAAGAACTGTACTGCTTCTCCTTTAACCCCAAACTTGACAAGGCCGAGCGAGAGGAAGGCTGGAGGCTGATTGACATGAGTGAGGAGTACAGTAGAATGGGGGTTCCCAAGAGCCTGTGGCAGCTCAGTGATGTTAATCGTGACTATCGAGTAAGTATGTGTGTTGGGATTATCTTTAGGAAATCGTATGACAGTTAGGCATTCTGACTTATTTTATAAAAATGTACTTATCTGCTATATGACAAACCTATGGTTAATGGCATTCCAATGCAGACATCTCTTGGGCCTTGTCCCTCCCAAGGGGTACCCATTAGGGCTCTTCCCTCTTTTCTCTGCCCCTTTTTGCTCTTGCAAAAGAACCCTTAGCGTGTCTTTTTAGTGTGCCAGCGGGGCTCTCAGGAGGAAAGGGTACCCCTAGGTTTAGATGATGCCTTGGTGTATTGGGCCGGAGTCCTTTTACACATTAATTGACATTGCTGAACAATTTGCTGCAGTATCTTGGTTGAAGGTGAGCTAGGAAAAATATTTTTCTCAATTGGCCCCTCTAAATTATACCCCTGTGTTGTATGTTCCAGGCTTAAAGAGGTTGACTAATTTAAATACTCAGGGATGCTAAATCACAATGATATGCCCCGCTTCCCACTTCATATTATATCTCTGATTATCACCCAAATAGAATCTAAATCAAGAATATGGGTTTTGTTACTGTTAATTTATTGGGTCAATGAATGTAATAAAAATGATATCTCTGCCCATATTATTCTACCTGTCTAAGATCCCCCCTGTATTTCCCCCCAACAACTTGCTGCACACAATTCACTCCTTCATTTCTTCATTTATATGGTTCTCAACCATGTATTTCTAGAATGGCACACAAGCACTGCTTGTGGAGGGAAGACTTGTGTATCTGGATTTTGTTTCTTAGCTTCCCAGCTCACCTTCAGACATAAGTGGTTAACCTGTATTGAAGTAAACTTGGCCACGGTGGTTGCAGCTTGCAACTGTGAGCTCCTACGAGCAATTACAGAATTTAGCGCATAGTACCAGAGTCTTTACCTGCAAATGAATTTTGCCTATAAAGGTATTTGTAACGGCTTAGCACTGTGCTAGGAAAGGTTGATCTATTGGCAGTGTCAAACCTCTTCAAGATCACTTCTCTGACACAACTCAACTTTGTCTAAACTGTACAACCACCCAGACACAGTTTGGTGGGTCAAAAGAGGCATAAAACATCTTTCTCATCTTTTATCTCACAATACCTTTATTCATTTTACCACATCAAAAGCAGAGAAACAACTCATAGATAAGGACATTTATATTCTTTATGTGTAAGTAGTGTCTTTATCGTGACACACACAGTCTGTTTATTGAGACACACAGTTACAAAGCAGTGTGGCTCTGTGTGTGTGTGTGACATTGCAGCTTTGTTCCCTTGAATCTTTGCTTTGAGACCGAACAATCCAAGCCAGTAACTAACATCTATAACTTGTTGCAGCCACTTCTGATTCACAACCTCTTATGACAAGTGGACAGCATGCATTACTACTCCTAAAGAGAAAAGCCTGGATTGAGGTAGAGCTAACTTGGTGCCATGATGTAATCAGCATGGTGGATACATTAATGGTGATGGTACTGGTTTCACATTTTTTGGTCATGTCTTCTTTCTGACCGAGAAACTAGGTTTCATGGTTCCCATTACTCTGGAAGCTCTCCTACTAGAAATTGTATTTCATCCCACGTTCATACTCTAAAAGTATGTTTTGACTAATCTGTTTCTATGCATGATAGGCAGGATTGGAAAAAGTCATACCCACTAACTTGTGATCTGGTAATCCAAATGGTCAATGTGGCTCTGCCTAGGTATAGACTGGTGTTTGCAAGGTCGTGTTGGTCCCCAGAAATTTGAAAACAATCTGAGGTCCATGGTTGCAACAACCAGCTGCTACTTCTTTAGGTTTTTTTTTGTCTTAACATGATATTTGATGTTAAAGTTTCAATTTGGTCTATCACATTGAGATACACCAGGGAGAATATACAGGAATGTACAGGAATTGGGGGGGCGTACAGTGTATGAATAGTTCGAATGCATGAATGTAAATTTGCCTGTCCCTCTGTTCCTTAATGTACCCAAGACAGTATTGTAATGTGTTGTACTGTACTCTAAATTTTTGAGTTAAAAAATAAATACCTTTAAAAAAACAACAGTTGAACTGAGCTAACTTTTTTACATAATATGATTCTACATAATGTGTTTCTTTTAGGTTTGTGATACATACACGACTGAACTCTATGTACCAAAATCTGCTAGTGTGCCAATCATCGTTGGAAGCTCCAAGTTTCGCAGTCGTGGTCGTTTTCCTGTTCTCTCCTATTTTTATCAGGATAATGATGTAAGTGTCTCTGTAATTTAGGATTATGAGGGCTATTTGTTTTTAGACTAAGCTTTCTGTCCTCATACAAACAAAAAAGACCGCTCCACCAGAGGAAAAAAGACAAAATAGGTAAAAATATATAAAGAAAAGAATGTAGTGGAAGTTCTGCAGGACGCTGCCCCAAACCAGCCAGTGGGACTGCAAGATCTGGGAAAAAAACAAACAGGGGGCGCCTTTCCTAGTGCAGACAGGTTTATTAGTATTAAAAAGCAATTGATGAGAATAATACTCACAAGGATAGACAGAAATGGAGCTTAGTTTTAAAATACATAGACCAAGATGTAAGCCAGTGACAGCTGCACAGCCGTTCCTGTGTACCAGCAAGGTGGGCTGCGAAGATGCGTTTCCGGGGTCACGCCCCCTTCATCAAATTCTGATGCTTCTTAATCCTAATAAACCTATCTGCACTAGGAAAGGCACCCCCTGTTTGTGTTTTTTTCTGTCCTCATGACCTACTCTATAAAAACATTTCCACCTTTTCAATATTTAATACATAACATTATCCTGACCAGCTGATGTATTTTGATGGAGATATTGGAATTTTTTTCCTAATCATAAGATGGCAATTCTGATTTAAAGGAAATCTGATATCATTTTGAAGCTTTTTTAGATCTTTTTGTTACTGTAACATAATCAGATTAATGAAAATGATTTTATTAATGCCTGTTAATTCCAGTACAAGTCTATGGACAGAGCTCTGTCAGCAGTCTAAACATAGAATTATCCTTGTTATACAAGTATACCTCCAATACCCAAATAGTCTTTTTAAACATTTTTAAGTTTAGTTTTGCATATACTGCCTGTCTGTAGGATTAATATTCCTGTAGACCATCTCTGCACAAAACATTTCTTCGTTTTTGGTTTTTTTTTTTGGTTGCTTGCAAATTGAATCCCTTTCTGTTGCCCTAAATATTTTAGGTATTTCAATGGCAAGTTAGTCCCTACTGATATACTAGATCTGTCCAACGTCTACAGCAATTATCTAGATAAATGGCACACTTCCAGATCACCTCTCCATGATGTAGACTCAGCAAATATCTCAGCTCAAAAGTAACATTTCTGCTTTGTGGAGGGTTGGATTCTACTGCAGGGACATTTTACCACTGGAGTTATCAAGAGATTTCTGAAACAAGTGGGTGATTCTAAATCTAGTGGCCTCACAAAAATGCAGTTTCAGTTTGGGATAATGTTTTAAAGTGACATTAAACCCAGGAGTTAAATCTTAAATTGCATTCAAGTACCTTAACCATTAACAAAAATGTACCTTATTTGTGTATCACTGAGCTGTATATCCTCAAATCATCTCTGAATTGGTGCTGACACTGTCCTTCCTTCTGGAGGGTGGCTAGTTTTGTTCCCCATGGTCCCTGTGTGTGTTGTAAAGTAACTACCGCTTCAAACTCACTCCTGTGATGGACTATACCTGCAATACAAGTTAATTAACTAAACATGACATTGTAGTTCATCACGGGAGCAAGCTTGTAGAGGTATCTACTTTGCAACACACACAGGGACCATGGGGAACAAAAGTAGCCACCCCTGACAGTGTCAGCATGAATTCAGAGATGATTTGAGGATCTACAGCTGAGTGATACACAAATAAGATACATTTTTTAATGAGAGCTATTATGCGTGCACATCCTGGCCTCAAACACCTATTGGGGAGTAAGATGTTTTTACTGCAAGGTAAGATGAGGGGCTACTACCAAGTGTTGGCCTGAGAACTGTTCAGTACTGCTGGTAGAACATCTGGTTGATGGAGGATCGGAAATTAGAGAGCCTGGCTGGTCTACAGGGGAGGTCCTGTAAACTAGTGTCTGTTTTCTACTTGAAATACTCCTTATATAAACTATATGTATACAGTATATTCCAAGTGTAATTCTTATAAGATAAAATACTATCTGGCTTTTATTGCTGCTTTGATACATCTTGCGTTGCCAGTGGTCCGTCCCCTTCCCATTTGTTTATACTAATTCCCATGGCCTTATAACCATTGCCGGACTATACACACAGATTAAGTGAGGTGCTGAGGCTTTACTTTGGTGACATTGCTGTTCTGCATGTGATTTGTGTTTCCCTGCAGGCCTCTATATGTCGTAGTAGTCAGCCCCTGTCTGGCTTCAGTGCTCGCTGTCTTGAGGATGAACAGATGTTGCAGGCGATAAAGAAAGCAAATCCTGGCAGTGATTTTGTCTATGTAGTTGATACCCGACCAAAAGTAAGTCAGCTGGAATTTGTATTTCTTAGTGGCCTGCATAGTTTCTAATGAACTTCTATGAATTTATGAAACTACCAGCAATGGAGAAAAAAGGACAAATAAAGGAAACAATGATAGTTTGCCAAGGGTACAGTTTTATTAAATTCACATAACACACAGTATATAATTGCTGTACTAGCCATTTTACAATTTATTGCCCATTTCATATCAGTCTAACACAATTTTCTATGACTGCCAAAAATGCCATGGAAATATACTTAAGAATCCTCAACTCCTGCCGTTCCAATTGGCTTTTTGCATCTTCGAAAAATCTACTCAACAATTTAGATAATCTCTGAAAGCTTGTTGCATGGAATATGGCATCTTATGCATTCTTGTGATTTATTGCGCTGGGAGTTTCATCTTTGGTGAGATATCTTCAGAGATTGTTATAGATCTGAAGGAATGTATAACACAGAGACTGATATTGTTATTATAGTTAAGACATATCCCTCCATTTAGTGCTCATTAATAATTTATTTTACAAGTTCACTGAAATGATCTACTCTATCTAAATGTCTATTAAGTTCCCCTCCTTGTAGATTGTAAGCTCTCACAAGCAGGGTCCTCTAATCCTTTTGTATGACATTGTATTGTCATTTTACTGTCTCCCCATATGTTGTAAAACACTGTTGGCGCAATATAAATCCTGTATAATAATAATAATGATAAGTATGTGCAACAAATCTTCAGAAATTCATTTATTCTGCTTTTAAAAATTTCACTCAAGTGTTTGCGCAAACACATTTGTGTACCTTAATGTCTGCAATTAATTTACAGAGCTTGTATCAACTAGGGAGGAGCTCCTCTGAACATGGAAGGAAGCTCCTTCTGCTACCTCCTAGTCATATGCGGCCGGGGAATTCTCCGCCTGCAGCTACGCATAAGCAAAGGGGTGGAATGCTGTGACGTTATTGACCTTATGGCTATATTTGGTCAATGACATTGACCTAACATAGCCACGTGGCCATAAAGGTCATTGATGTCAGAACTAGCATCCTGCTCCTTTGTTTATGTAACGCTGCAGGGCACGACCCTGAGCTCATTCCTAGTATCAACCAATCAGTAATTATCATTCACTTGTATAGCGCAGATTATGAAGGTTTTAATGTAAATTCAGTGTTTTTGTATTGATGGATCTATTGTATTTCTTTATTTAATACTTTCAAATTTTGCAGAGCTTTATTGAATACGTGAGACACACACACAGACACACACCATTAGAGTTTTGGATTGCGGCAGGAGCATGGTGCTGCCGGAGGAAACACCCTCAAACACAGAACCGTACCAAGAGTCATAAGGGTGTATTAATAAAAAAAATTGCAGAGCCATTCGTCCTGAGAAACTGCATGTACATTTGTTCTGTGTGAATGGGGAAAGCAAAATATTAGTATATTTTATTTCCTGGTCACATGTATTTCATTCATGAGATTAGAGAGAATCATAAAAATTAGGGCTGCAGCTAACGATTTATTTTTTTTATAATCGATTAGTTAGCTAAAAAAATTATACCATCTTTTATTTTAAATAAAATACACAAATGCAGTGTTACAAACATAAAGTTTACTTCAGAACAAAACAGCATGCACAATTTTTGGCAATCGCACTGAACTGGAACACACGACATTGCGCTACCACGCGCTCCAAATGCAGTCCAATCCAATCTTTGTGTAATCAAAAGTCCATTTATTGAAAAACAATTGCCATTCAAATAGCATTTAAATGGCAATTGTTTTTCAATAAATTGACTTTTGTTGATTACACAAAGGTTATGGTGTGCTGGTGACATCCTTTGAAAACTACATGTATATCACGGCGGCATCCATGGTCACTATGAGCACCCACCTGCATCCTGCAGGTCATCAATTCCGTTAAGAAGTGCAGCAATACATCTTTTGTCTCACTGAGGGGAGGAGGCGTGTTTGGGGTGCCATTCAAATGGTACCCCAAATGAATGGCACCGCAACGCACCTCCCGTAGCAGAATTTGTCAGGCTGAAACTGAAAATGACTTTTTTCCCACCTTTTTTATAATTTTTTAAATAATTGTATTTATTATATTAAACATTTGAATTAGTTTAATGGATTTAAAATAATCTAAATTGAAAAACTCCATACCAATATATTAAAATAACCAAACTTTTATTTAAAATAACACACCAAAATTGGTCAAAAAATAAAATTATATTAAAAAAAATATATATAGATAGATAGATAGATAGATAGATAGATAGATAGATAGATAGATAGATAGATAGATCGACAGATACACTATATTGCCAAAAGTATTGGGACGGCTGCCTTTACAAGCACATGAACTTTAATAGCATCCCAGTCTTAGTCCGTAAGGTTCAATATTGAGTTGGCCCACCCTTTGCAGCTGTAACAGCTTCAACTCTTCTGGGAAGGCGTCCACAAGGTTTAGGAGTGTGTCTATGGGAATGTTAGACCATTCTTCTAGAAGCTCATTTGTGAGGTCAGGTACTGATGTTGGACGAGAAGGCCTGGTTCATAGTCTCCGCTCTAATTCATCCCAAAGGTGTTCTATTGGATTGAGGTCAGGACTCTGTGCAGGCCAGTCAAGTTCCTCCACCCCAAACTCACTCATCCATGTCTTTATGGACCTTGCTTTGGGCACTGGTCCGCAGTCATGTTGTAACAGGAGGGGGGGAACCCACACTGTTCCCACAAAGTTGGGAGCATGAAATTGTCGAAAATGTCTTGGTATGCTGATGTCTTAAGAGTTCCCTTCGCTGGAACTAAGGGGCCAACCCCAACCCCTGAAAAACAACCCCACACCATAATCCCCCTTCCACCAAACGTTACACTTGGCACAATGCAGTCAGGCAAGTATCATTCTCCTGGCAACCGCCAAACCTAGACACGTCCATCAGATTGCCAGATGGAGAAGCGTGATTCATCACTCCAGCGAACACGTCTCCACTTCTCTAGAGTCCAGTGGCGGCTTGCTTTACACCACTACATCCGATGCTTTGCATTGCACTTGGTGATGTAAAGCTTGGATGCAGCTGCTCGGCCATGGGAACCCATTCCATGAAGCTCTCTACGCACTGTTGTTGTGACAATCTGAAGGCCACACAAAGTTTGGGGGTCTGTAGCTATTGACTGTGCAGACAGTTGGCGACTTTTGCGCACTGTTCACTTCAGCATCCGCTGACCACGCTCTGTCATTTTACGTGGCCTACCACTTCGTGGCTGAGTTGCTGTTGTTCCCAGTTGCTTCCAGTTTGTTATAATACCACTAACAGTTGACCATGGAATCCAATGATTTGGAGGGGTGTCCCAATACTTTTGGCAATATAGTGTATATAAAAGCCTGGTCATCAGTCTGGCACATGCAGCAATACCGACATGTATAGCACAATCGTCATTTTTGTACGTAGGTGCACCCAACTTGTGTTTCCATTCCCATGTGGCATTCGTGGGGGGTGCGGGACTTTTTATTGTATTTTTTAATGTATTTTATTTAACTTTTTTTTGTTAACTTCATTGCTATCACAAGCCCCCTATGTGATAGCACATTGGAGATGACAGGTTCTCTTTAAGGTGACATTAGACCCCCTAGGGTCACCTTTCCACTTCAAAGGAGCTATTCAAGCAGTCATGGCTTGAATACTTTAAGCCAGGGAATGTAATCAGCAGCAGGCAGTGGGTGTGTGCAATAGCCAGTCAGCTATTGGCTGTTGCAATTTAATATAGCCTTAATATAGGCTGAACAGAGTTGCGGCAGCTGAGGGGGTGGCTGACCTGAATCAACTAATCAGAATCAACTAATCGATAACCAATTTATCGATTAGTTGTTGCAGCCCTAATACAAAAACTGCATTATTAAGATCATGGGTAATATGTATTTATTTCCTATGACCCTCAGCTCCATCTACATGCAGTTTTGCCGGATAAATGACTTTGCAAATTTTTTTATGCTTACGTCCCTCCTTGTATATATTTATTTGTATGGAAAATGTTAGAGTTTTTACTAAGATTTATATTTATTAGATGATATTCTGTTCCCTGTAAGGCAGACTGTTGAATCGTTTATACATAAAGTGATAGAATTAATGAATGTTTCTAGTGACTGGGAGCAGTAAATATGAAATTTTCTTTCCCTTGACATTTTCAGTGCTTTGTTCCATAGAATGTGCTGCCATCTGCTGTTTTCTATGGTTCAGGCATGATTCCTAAATTTTGTGAAATGGAATAACTCCTTGATATCTATTTATAGCTAAATGCCATGGCAAACAGAGCAGCGGGGAAGGGCTATGAGAATGAAGACAATTATTCAGACATCAAGTTTCAGTTTATTGGCATTGAGAACATTCATGTGATGAGGAACAGTCTCCAGAAGATGCTGGAAGGTAAATCAATCTGCACATTGCCTTATTTTTTTTAACAATATCCTTATTTTAGATGAAGTCCTCTATACAGTTGTAATAAACTGATAAAAATTGGACATATCAGCATATGCATGTGAAATGACAATTACTTGCATTTACGGCAGTGTGCAGAGCATTCCATATCCATTGCTTGACAAACCATATAACTGAATGTGTTATGTACATTGTCTGCAAGCACACACTATTATAGGACACTCTTATGTGACACATCATAGAACATTAGATGAGGTTTGGGATCACTGCTATCATGGGGTCGGCGTGGATCCAGACAGGTTGCAGAGAATTGGTGGGAGCAACTGTCCTGATTCATGTGGTGGCATTGCCCCACAGGTACAGGACACTGCTATCCCTAGGGCTTTGCATGGTGCTCCTTTTATAACATAGCTGCTGCAATGTTGTGGTCTGCAGCCCCTGTCTGTAAAAGTACCAGCCATTTGGGTACCACATGCATGAGGAAACAATAACTCTGCCGCAAAGAGCTTGGTGGGAGCAGACGTTCAATGAGACAAGTCAGCAGCAAAAGGCCTGCTCTCCTAGTTCCCTATTTTCCGCATCTCCCCTCTACAACATTCTCCATCTGTGAAGGAAGGATGCAGGACAAGGCACACCGCTGGAGCTCATATATATTTTTTTATAGTGCTGAGATATAGACCTGTCCCAGAGAAAAACAACTAAAGCTGCTGCCGTATAGAGAATCTTTAGTGATCTAATTTTGAATCACTGAGGGGCATTCAGCATGAATAAAGCAGATTCGATTTTGAAGTGAACCTGATTTTTGCCTATACAGGGCACAAAAACAGGCTCACGTATATATTGTATGCTGCCCCCCCCCCTGCACACACACACTGCCAGCCTATTTACCTGCCAGAACAATGGGAACAACCCCATTGTAAACTGCAAGTCACTCTGCTTGGAGATTACAGTATTTTTCTCCCATTACCACAGCTTTTTTCAAACAGGGTTGCTCCTGAGTTTACTAGGGGTTCCTTGAGCAATGAGCATTTTCTGCTATTTCTGACTCTCAGATGAGTAACCACTGGCATCAGTGGTTGTTTTTAGCTCTCGGTAAGGGGGGCATTCTTTCCATTGACTATTAATGTACAGAGCATTCTTCCCACTGACCACCAATGTAAGGGACATTCTTTTCACTGACTACCAATGTAAGAAGCATTCTTTCCTCTGAGTATTAATGTATGACCACCAGTGTAGGGTGGACTTTTCCCAATAACCACCAGTCTAAGAGGACCCTTCTACACTTACCCATTGTAAGGGGCATTTCACTGGCCACCGGTGTACAGTGCAATTCACTAGCCAACAGTGTAAGATGGCATTTTTCTACTGATCACCAAGGTAAGGGAGCACTACACTGACCACAAGTGTAAAGGGGACATTTCACTGACCACCAGTGTACAGGAGCATTTTACTGACCAACAGTGTAAGGAGTACCAAACTGACCACCAGCCTCTTTTTTTTACCTGATAGACCCTGTTGGGTAGATTTATGCTGGCCATACACTACACGAATATCAGTCAAGTTCTGTTGACTCTGCCAAAATGTAGGGTGTGTTTGGCCCCCGTCAGCACCCTTCCATTCTACAAAACTCGATTTTTCAATCAAAGGAGCCAGTCCGAATGTTCCTGGCTAAACTGTGACTGCGTCCAATCAAATGCAGTCACTGTTCAAATATTCTGACAGAGGCACACCCAGCAATGTCAGAATACAATAGCCCAGAAGGGCATGGGGCGGATTCTCCTATCCAAACTGTTTAGCATGAATGGGGGAATCAAGCGTTTTAAATAAAAAGTGTATGGCCTGCTTAACAATGAGTCTAGATACTATGCTCTCATTCTGATCCTGGCATCAGTACCTAGTGAGTCAATGAAATGGAAATGGCATGCATCCAGTAAAGGCAGAACTCCTGACCCACATGCTTGTTCAAGATAGTTACCTGGAATTGGAAACCCCTATAGATTTTAGGTTCATTGTTGAAGGACTCCACATTGTATGTGCCAATCCTCAACCTGTCACAGCACAGTAACTCCAGCCTTATTTGATATGGTAATCCGGTTAATACTAGTGGTAGTTTTCATATGGTGCACATACACATCACTTTTTTGCATTATGGTAGATTGTCGTATCCATAGTGCTATCTTGATGGACCTATTTCTTTGAGTCTCATTCCAGAGCATTGTTTGTGATTGCTGTATGTTGCAGGTCTGAGCCATTACTATGCACTGCCTAGCTGTCTCCAGGCTAGTAGGAAATGTGATAAGTTCAGGTAACCAGATCCAGGGGCACGGTGACACCAGCAGGACTGTGGTACTAATTTTAGAACACGTGCGTCACTAACCTTTGGTGTGTTAGATAAACAAGTCACATTAGTTCACTTATATTTTGCATCTCAAGTCTAATCGCAGATAGTACATGAATGAAATACCTTCATGATGGGTGTACTTGCTAGATGTTCAAACTTTTTCAAACACATCATAGTCATCATACATTGGTATATAACTGCCTGAGATACAAAGTTTTCTTTCATTGGTGACAATGCATAAAAAGTGTCTGTAGACATGAGATGACCATTATTCAATTCTGCAGATGCTAGTTGCCTGGCTGTCATGGTGGCCCTCTGGTTTCTATATTTGGAATCACTGACCTGGAACAGGTATATATCCAAGGACTTCTGACAACCTTGATCTGCATAACTGTTAAAGGTTAGTGATTCAGAAAGTATTAAAGCCAGAAAGAAAGATAGCCAGGCGGACAAAAGTAGCAGCCTTTTTCTTAGGAGAGATTGATTTGAAATCAAGGGGACAGAGTGATGATCTATGTGTAGTCACAGGCCTCCGGAGACCTCTCTCACCTCTTCTCCTTGCTGCTCCCTGTGTAGTAGTTAGACATTGTTTACAGCGGCGGTAAAGGGTTGGTAAAAACAGTCGGTTGATCCACGTTTTTACCACCTACATAAAACCTAACATGGCTGCCTTTCAGGTTTGTACACATGCTGCAATAGCATTGCCTTGCTTCCCCAGCTGCTTTTTTTATACAGCATTTCCAGTTTAGCAGGCGGTGCCACTTGCCGAACGTGACCAGTGCAATCAGTGTGAAGTGCGTGCCAACCACTCGCTATTGCAATGCAAAGTCCCCCTTGGGATCCCCCAAAAAAGTATAACAAAACAGAAATTCAGGAAGCTGCAATGTTACTTCCTGAACGCCTGTAGACTTGCTGTCAACTACCCTCTGAAAATCCACTGCGGATTTCCTTTACAGAGGTCTGTAAACTCTACCGCATCTGTGAACTTAGCCTTAAAGCGAGAAAAGTATAGGGCCACCATTACTGGGCCTCTTTTGAAAATGCTAGTTGGCTGGCTGTGTTTGCCATCAGTACAGCCAAGCCTGCTGAAATCAAGTGTAAGAATAGCGTCAGAACTCTTTATTTCTCCATACTTATTCCAGGTCAGAGACCCAGAAAGCATTGAAGCTAAGCATCTGCATGACAGCCAGGGGCATAACATTCTTCAGCAATGGCGGTCCCTATAATTTTCTCATGACAAAGTCACTTTCAGGCAGTTTGCTTTGCACATAATTGGTGCATGCAGGTATATGGCTTCCTCTCATAGTGATGAGAGAAATATTCTGGAATAAGTGTATTTGAGATTTATTCTGATTGGCTAAAAGTCACCTAACACTAATATTCATCTAACACTAAGAAAAACTTACCCTTTTGCATGGTCCCATAAAGTGTCTCTTCTTGCTGGTCGCCAAACGGTCATGTTGCCAACCCTCTTGCCAATGTCTTCATGTATTATTATTATTATTATTATTATTATTATACAGGATTTATATAGCGCCAATAGTTGGCACAGCGCTTTACAATATAAGGAAGACATTACAGTCACAATACAATTTAAGACAAGATGGTAAGGAGGGCCCTGCCCGTGAGGGCTTACATAACACAGAACCAGCAGCCACTGCTGGCCATGTACACGATGATATTGATGTGCCCACCCACATTCCGGGGCTAGAGGAAAGAGGAGCCATAATATTCTGTTAGATCATTCTCTTTACAAAATGAGCCTTATATTCTGCATAAGATGTTGGGGGCGGGGGTGTTAAACCTATTTAGTTGTATGTCTGGAGTTCCATTTTAATTCAAGCCCATTGTAATCCATTAAAAGTGACACTTCTAGATGTTAGCATATTGATATATGGAAAGTATTAGTAAAATTGTATTTATAATACAGAATGATATTTATATAGCAGTACCTTAATGATGAGTTCAGCATAGGGAACGCCATATATATGTTGCAATACAATCATACAGTTTGTGTACAATCAACTTATATTTATCAAATCTATGTAATATGAGGACCTACCTAAACTTACCAATCTGTCTGTATCCAATCAGGCAGGCCCTTGTATTGCATAGTTGTTGGTAGGAGATATAATAATAATATAATATAGGTATATTAATAATATAGGTTGGTAGGAGATATAATCAGATTGTAGGGTGTATGGTAAGCTTTAAACGTGATGACATCTACTTTTCCTCCCACCAGCTCTGTCCATAGTAATTTCCTTTCCCTACGCTGCATGCAGCCACTGAGCTCTGTATAGTGTTATTTCAGTTCTGTGAAATGTCAGATATTTGCACTCCTTTTTTCTTAATGTCCTAGAAAGAAGTGAACGATCAGCAGGAGGTCAAATCATGAATCATCGTTTCATTTTTATTTCCATACTTCCGGTCTTTTCACAGCTTGATGCTTTTCCCTCAGATAGTTTTGTGCGGAAGCTTTATATTTAGCTTGTCACAGTTATGTATTGTTACTTTTGTTATGTTCTGTGAATATTTTGTGCCTCCTAATATAATTATTCGACAGAAATGTTCTGCATCTAAAAATATTCTAAAGATAATGTACAATAATATTTGTTGTACCTGGAATTTACTGATCGGGACTTCCTGCTTCCTGGCCGATTGTGTTTTGACCTTGTGTGACTACAAAGTTGAGTGCTTTGGGTTCAGCTTATTTGACCTTCGGGGTGTTCCTGACTAGATCGGAATAATACATCATTTCAATATAGGAGTAGGTCAGATGGCTCACACTGAGTTTACTTCTCTTTATTAAATAAAAGAAAAAGGTCATTTCCAAGCTGAAAGTATGCTCAGTGTATTCACAAGGAAATTATAAGAACAAAAATGGAAAGCACAGACCTGTACCTATGTTCCTCTGACTGACACCTTTCTTGTATGACTCATGAATATATACCGTAGGTGCATCAGTGCTCTTGGTTTAGTCTCTATTAATGTCCCCAGTGAATATTTCTTCTTGCAGTGACAGTGTGGCTTTATCACTTCTTGTATTACAACATTTATTTCTCACTGAGTACTCTGGATATATAGATTGATAGATAGATTGATAGATAGAGAGAGAGAGATAGATAGATAGATAGATAGATAGATAGATAGATAGATAGATAGATAGATAGATAGAGAAAGAGATAGATAGATAGATAGATAGATAGATAGATAGATAGATAGATAGATAGATAGATAGATAGATACATTGTAGATAGATAGATAGTTGATAGATGGATAGTTGATAGATAGATAGATAGATAGATAGATAGATAGATAGATAGATAGATAGATAGATCCTATGTACATTCTGCCCGCCATATACTCTCCACCTTCCTTTACAGCACATGCTGCCTGCTGTCATACCCTCCATACATTTTTCCAGCACATACTGCCCACTGTCATAACCTCCATACTCTTTTCCAGCACATACTGCCTGCTGTCATACCCTCCATACTCTTTTCCAGGACATACTGTCCACTGTCGTATTCTCCATACACTTTTCCAGTATATACTGCCCACTGTCATACCCTCCATACTCTTTCCAAGCACATACTGCCTGCTGTCATACCCTCCATACTCTTTTTCAGTGCATACTGCCCACTGTCATACCCTCCATACTCTTTCCAAGCACATACTGCCTGCTGTCATACCCTCCATACTCTTTTTCAGTGCATACTGCCCACTGTCATACCCTCCATACTCCTTTTCTGTGCATACTGCCCACTGTCATACCCTCCATACTCTTTTTCTGTGCATACTGCCCACTGTCATACCCCCCATACTCTTTTTCAGTGCATACTGCCCACTGTCATACCCCCCATACTCTTTTTCAGTGCATACTGCCCACTGTCATACCCTCCATGCTCTTTTTCAGTGCATACTGCTCACTGTCATACCCTCCATACCCTTTTTCAGTGCATACTGCCCACTGTCATGCCCTCCATACTCTTTTCTAGCACGTATTGGCCGATGTTCTACCCTCCATACTCTTTTCCAGCACATACTGATTGCTATCATATCCTTTGCACTCCGCTCCTGCACATGCTGCTAGCTGTACATATTGTATACTGAGACAGTTCTATAATATTGTTTGTCTGCATAACCTTGCCTGTTCAGGAATGGGCACACTTTTGTAAGTAATCATAAAACTACACATGGCCTTGTGATGCCTTTTCACATACAAACAAGATTTGTTGGTAAAAATTGAGCTTGATTTGTATTGCATATCTTTTATTACCCATTAGTGGGAAAACTGAAAACTTTAAATATGCCATTGAAATAGAAGACAATGCGTGTTTTCTTTCTATTCATTTTATTTTGCCATAATTTCCTATTAGTATATCCTTGTTTCATAGAAATCCGGATAGACAAATGTAAGGTTATTTATTTTAAGCTAGTGAATTGTCTGCGTCAATTCAAAGCCTTTTTACCTTAACCTGTCCTTAAAAAAGGTGACCACACAGCAGGAGGGGGTGCTTGCCATTTCCATTTAACCTAAATCTCTTTCAGATGTCGGCTTCTCACAGCTTGACGCTTCCTTTTTGGATATGTTGTGCAGAAGCTTTACGTATAATACGTCACAGTTATACATTGTCATTTCCATGTTTCTGTCTGTAATTGTTTCATTCCCAGAGACCACTACATCCTTATTATCAATTCTTAGTAAAAGCGCCAGGAGTGTTCTAGATCCAAGATTATTCTAAGAAAATGACTCGGTCCTTTTTAAAGGAGACATCCGGATCTGAGAAACACTGGGCAGTGACCTCATTTACTATCATGTGATCACTAGGTGGCAGTATTTGATATACTCTACTGTATGTAGGTTACTTCTACACATTGGGTCTGGTATTGGTGTTAGTTTATACACTGCCTTCTGATTTCCACCTATTTAACCCATGGAAGGCAAGTAGAATCTTGCAAGGCTGTATTAGGTAAAGGTAATATAAAATATGGTCTGCGGCCACAGGAACTTTTACAGTGTTCCCTCTTTATGAAGTATTATCTTTTTTTTATTGTAGTAGGTGGGCAGAGACCCGTTTACACATTCACTGGAACAGGAGGAACATATGCGGCAGATCGGTGGCACTCCAAATCTCACCAAATTACCCCATTTCTTCACTTGAGATACACAAGGTCAAGGTAAAAAAAAAATTGACTAATGCTAAAGTGAACCAGGACCTTATGTTCCCCCTGTTCTAGTGAATATGTAAACAGGTCCCTGCCCACCTACCAAACTGTCTTGGTGGGCTTTTGAAGGCATTAACTTTAGACCCCATACCTATTGTGAATTGAGGTAATGCCTTCAAAAGCCCACCAAGACAGCAGGGCCGTTAACCTAAACTAAAGGCTTTTTTTTAGATTAGGATAGAATGATGACAGAATAGAACCACTGACAGTTTTTTTTATTGTGATCTGTTAGAGAGATTTGCTCTCTCTAATTTTCCTGATCCCCAAAGCAGCTCATATGATGTATGTATGTACAGGGCTCAAAATCTCAATTCCTGAGCTACTAGCCAGGCCTCAAGAGTTACTAGCCACCAGTTGCCCCACCTAACCCTTACCCTGCCCCGGCCTTAACTCCGGCCCTAAACACACCCTCTTAAATAATCTTATGATAATTCTTATCTTAGGATAGTTGCCGCTTGTAAACGGCAAATTAGGGATTCCTGCTGCAGGAAAACGCAAGTTCCTGATGCAGGAATCCCTAATCACACCTGAAATATACTGTAGGTGTGAATGTGGCCTAATATACACATACAATTTGAATGACCTTACAAGCATCGCACAACGAAAGGTGTATGGGCAGCTTAAAACACAATAATACACTTCTCAACATTACCCCCCCCCCCCCGCACAAATATAATAATAAAGTTCTCCCCGCACACAAAAAATAATACACTCCCCCCGTTATAAGTCTCCCCACACACATAACATAATGTACTCCCCCTTATTAACCTCCCCCCACACACATAAAAT